CTACAGGAATGGGGACAGTGTCGCAGACATAGAGACGCTAGGCCCTGCATGACTTCTTCATTGAGAATGATTAACTGTCCTTGGTCAAGCCATCACCGCAGTGTACAGAGGATCACCGTGTGATGGTGAGGAGCACAGAATATCGCGAGGCACGTCACACCTTCACTCTGCCACTCGCTAGCTGTATGTCCTTAAGGGGTCCTTTAACCTATCTATACCTGTGTTCTCATCTACAAAATAGGAATAACGATAGTATTTACTTTATTGGGTTCCTTAAAAATAATAAAAATGAACATAGAACTCTCAGCCTAAGAAGTACGAAATAATAAGCAGTCAATCTGCTTGGAGATGGCATGTCTTTCTCTCTCTGGATCTGAGCGCCCAACGCGCTCACCATTTCTGGGGCTCTGCGTTCGCTTCGCAGCAAACACCTTATTGTTGATCCACCTCGGGGGCTGACATCTCACCTTAGTCCACCTGAGACACACTCTGGGAGAGCAGCAGCCAGGAAAGGGAAGATAGGTTTAGACAGAGTTGTCCGACACAGATGGAATGCATGTCACACATGTAATTCTGAATTTTCTATCAGCCACATCAGAAAGAAAAAAAAAAAGGGGTGCAATTAACTTGAATAACATATTTTATTTGACTGAATATATCTAAAATATTGTCATTGTAACAAATGGCAGTGATCGCATTTTCAATGCTGGATAGCCACATATGCCCACCACATCAGACAGACCAGGTTTAGCGGCAAAAGGACCTGGATTCGAATTCTGACTCTGCTACTGACTGGCCATCTACTTGCCAAATCTCAGTTGCACTGTGTTAACTATCTCCAGAGAATAACTATCTCCAGAGAATGCTATGAGAATTAAATAAAAATAGCATACACGAAGCACACAGTACAAAGCCTGATACACAGTGGCGCTCACTGAGAATTCCCTCGCCCGACCGTCTTCTCCAGAACTTTCTATAGCGCTGGCTCAACAATGTGACCTGTGAAGTCGCCTTCATTCCTTCCCTTCTACCTCCAGGACACATCGTGGCTTTTCACCACCTGCACAGCCCTCCTTCCTTGCTTCCCAACGGCTACACACGTGGCCATGTGGACGTGTGGAAGCCATGGACCCGCTAAGGCATGACCCGAGCACGTGGTCCCAAGAAACTAAGACGACCTGTGCCTGAAAACGTCCTTCTCCTCCGGCCCCGTGTCACCCGCCTCCCCAGCTGCCACCACGGCCACAGCTTCCTTAGCAAATGCCATCAACGGCAATGCTTCTCCATTTGATGGCAGGCTGACCTCAAAATTTAAAAAAAGTGAGGATCATTGGGCAAAAAAATAACTGGCCAGGATCTTTCAAACAGGTCAATATGCAAAAAAAAAAAAAAAAAAAGACCAAGGAACTAGCTACAAAAAGAACACTGGGAAAAGTGGTAAAACTCAAATAAACTCAGATTAGTTAATAGTTCTGCATTTATGTCAATTTCCTGGTTTCAGTAATTGTACTATGGTTGTGTAAAATGTTCATATTAGCAGGTATAAGGTGAATAAATTCTGAGGCTCTAATGAATAACATGGTGACTGCAGTTGATAACACTGTACTATATAACAGAAATTTGCTAAGTAAAACATGTTCTCGCTCTTCCCCCCAAAAAAAGTACATATATGAGGCAATAGATGTGTTAATTAACTCAAGTGGGGGGTATCCTTTCATAGTGTACATGTATATCCAATCCTCATGTAGCATACTGTCAATATCTTACAATTTTATTTGTCAGTTACTCCTCAATAAAACTAAAAAATATATTGGGAGTAAATGGAAATTCTCTATACTATTTTTATAACTTTTCTTTTATATTATTTCAAAATTAAAAGTTAAAGCACTTTTACATGTGATTATTTGAAACTTTATTGTGGCAGAATCTCTCTCCCAAAAGATTTGTTAACCAATATAGCATTGTAAAATGGTGTTACTTACGTTAAGCATGTCGCAGTAAGGCCACCACACAGGTTAATGAAAAGTCAATCCCAAGGTCTAGAAAATCTACCTCAATCACCACTATTAGTTTGCAAATCCACTAAGAGCGTATGATGTCACCTACATTTACTTAGTAATACTGAGGACTTGATGATAGCCAATAATGTTTTGTGTGACCAGTAATGTTATTAAATAAATATACCTTTTGATTTAACATTACTGAATAACAAACTTCAACAATAGCTCCACCGAAACCAACGTTTTACCAAAAGAAAGTGACAGGAAAAGATAAGGAAGAGATGCAAAGAAGCATATTCCACTCTGCCCCCTCCCCCCGCCTGCACCCAGGCATGCCGCACCTTACGAAGCAGCCTCTGTCAATCAGCTCTGAACAAAACCCCTTGCAGTAGAGCGGACGGCCTGTTCCGCTATAGCATGGGTGCCTGTAGATGAATCAAACTCAGAGGCAATTGGTAAGTGGAGAAAGGGTTTCAGTATAAAGCAGAAGCTGCATTGGCTCACATGGGATTTTTTTCCCAGATCATTAATGTTGTCACACTACCTTGTTTCCAGAGATTACTTATATTATATATATCAATGAAATGTGTTATTACTATTCATTTGTATTATATACTTTCTATATTTAACCATAAATTCAAAATATAGTATCTGTATTAGTCAATTACAATTTTATTTGTCACTTACTCCTCAATAAAACTAAAAAATATATTGGGAGTAAATGGAAATTCTCTATACTATTTTTATAACTTTTCTTTTATATTATTTCAAAATTAAAAGTTAAAGCACTTTTAAATGTGATTATTTGAAACTTTATTGTGGTGGAATCTCTCTCCCAATAGATTTGTTAACCGATATATCAGTTAAACATTCCTTAACTAGATAGGTTAATCTAATGTAGTAATGACAATTATTATCTACATTAAAACCAGACTGATGCATTTTGTAAGAAAAGCAAATATTCAGTGTTTGACATGAACTAAGTGTATATTCTGAACATTAGTCAAACCAACATCAATCTTTTCAAATGAGGCAGTCTATAAAATATATAAAAATATAAGGGCATATGTCTAGAAAGCATTTTGCTCATTAGACTAAAAAGATACTTTAAAATGTGCCTTTTATAGTATTACATTATGCTAAAGAAGAATTTAATATGAGACTTTTTGTTTCTCAAAAAAAGCCACAATTACTGCTTAATTACTTGTTGTTAAACATACCAATCGCTAAGCATTCTTTTATGAAGTAGCTCCTGCTAGCAAAAAACGTTATGAAGAAAATGTGTTATTTGTACAAGACAGGAATATAGTACATAATTAATTCATTAAAAATACAGTTCAGCCAAAGTAGTTATAATTTGTTGTCAACATCTGTTTTGGGAAATTAATTTATATAATAAATATCAATCACATTAATGTTACATAAAAGAATCGTGTTCTCTTTTTACGTATAGTATACGATATGCTAGGTTACTTTTATGAACCATGCAACCCTGGTTTTCAAGGAGCCTTTTTTTTTCCCCAATCACCTGTTCAAATTCACTTGCTTAGAGATAGTCAGCATGTTTCTAACGGGGAAAAAAAAAATACTGCGTAATTGTCTGCTTATAGGTTGACCTCTTTCACTTGGGTGGGCATCCTCTCCATCATTGACTAAGTGAGGATGTAACCTCGTCAAACCAAAGGCAAAAGAATAATGAGCACACGATGGGCTAGCCCAGCATGGCAAAGGGGGTTAGGGAGGCGGCAAAAACTGCACTCTAAATGACAAAACAGAAGTATTCGCCGAAGAGTAGATTACCATTAAAGGAAGCACTCTAGAAGGCGAGATTCGTGTAATCCCCACCCCTGGATGACTGCCACACAGGGCTCCATCAAATTTATTTCATTAGTTACTAACCGGATTAAGTTAACATATTTTCAGATGAATCCCGGTAGAACGGGCTTGACAGAGACACATTTGTAAAATATCTATTTCCACGAAGCACTAGCCAAAGGTAAGGATAAACAAGTAGATAATGCTTTTGCTTTCACCAATTGTAAATATCCAACGAGAACCAATTATTCCAGTTCAAGAATCAGATATATAAACTGCATGTCTTCACCAAACGGTAGGATTTTACCAGTTAAAATAAATGACAATAACTGCTACATTAACTGCTATCCCAATGCACTAATTGGCATACTAGGGAATCGTATTAAAACGTTTTTAGAAGTGGCTGAAACTAGAACAAATAAGGCAAGTTCTGCTGCGGTCTTCTCAGTGTGAATCTACTTTCAAAACAAACCAAAAATCTCACATCTAAACCATTCGAGCAAGTACGAGGCCTACGTATTATATCATTGTGTCAATTACATACACGTTGACGTTCCTTTCTACATGAAGATGAAGAAAATTTATGTTCCTGACCAGTCGTAACACTTTAACAGAGAAACAGTGCCACCTTTTGGTCCCAAACAAAAGCCTCCAGTATACTGTCTTCCAAACTTCCTTTTTTCAGTTAAGTTACTGAGATATATGTACCTCCATGCACACACATACACACATATACACACACATATATGCATACATACATATATTATATATACATGTCACAAATATATATATTTCATGTCACAATGATCATCTTCTAGAAATATTTTGTAGCTACACAAACTAATAAAACGTGAGAAACAGAGATTGCCTCCAAGATGCAAAATTTCAAAATAACCCAAACTAATACCAAATACATGTACCTTAGATCCATAATTTCTAATCCACATTTCATTCAACACATTTCACCATATCCAAGTGTGTCTATCAACCGAAATATTTTTAAATATAAAAGAAAAATCTTTGATAGCATTGTTACATTTCAAAATTGATTTTTTTTAAAACACATTCTATTTTAAATGTGCCTATTCATTTAATAATTGACAATATGGTATTCGCAGCAGATTATCAGTTAAATCAGATCGTTATAATTCATATGCAAACGTAGTATATTTCGGATTTACTTACACCAGTGACACGATGTCGCCACGCTGGACTTCAAAATTCCTTACTTTCCAGTGGTTTAAAAGCACCACGTCAGATGATGGGCTTCCCCCGGGATTCAAAGAAGGCTAAAAAATAAGGAGAAAGGGACAGACACATCTATCATTTGTATTTTTCAATCTTCACGGTTCCTTGCACTTCATGGCTTTAGTGCAACGCAATAAAACATTCCTAACATGCTCGCTTTCGATAAATTGCTGATCTACAGTAACTGCAAATGATGAGTTTTCAGAAAGGCTTATCGGGATTCTTCACAGGTGAACCAGGAAAAAAAAAAAAAAAACATTACCAATACTTATTTGAAAGGAAAATGTGCTCGATAGTCAAATCTGTATTAAACTCCAGTGGAGAGCTGTGGAAAGCTTTAAGGATTAAAAAAAATAAATGAAGAAGAAGGGAATCAAACCTCCCAATAGAATATTCAGATAGGCTCTGCACAGCATCGCTCCACCCGGGGCGAAGAGGCATCTCGGATCCGCCCGGAAGACAGCCGCACGAAGGGAAGGGAGCAGAGGGGACAAGTGATGGGACAAACTAGAAAAGCCAGGTGAGCTTTCCCACCATTGACTCTACAGAGACCCTGAGAGCATCAGGAGGGGACACACTGACTTCCGGGGCGGCGGGAATGGTGACAAACCACGCCTGAGGCTCTCCACCTTCACTGGTGGTGGCAGCAAGACAAGATATGGCTGCAGCACCCCGGGCGGGAACAAGAAACCCGTGGGCGCCAGACAACGCCAGTCCCTGCGGCTGCAGCGACAAGCTCTTTTTTAAAGACTCCTGGAACGATGTGTAGATTTTCTGCAGGGCAGATGTGGGCGACACTGAAGACGTTTCGTGTCGTGACCTTATTTTTCACTCCCCAGGATTTTGTGGCCGAAAGCTGTTGGTCATCCTTGGAGATCTCACACGCTCTCACGGCTTCTCCCAACTTCCTCCCGTGACGATGCCCAAATATCTCCATCTCTAGTTTTAAGTTCCCTGCTAGTCACTCCGCTTGACTGTCTGACATAACATTCAATATGATTCAATGAAATTTGCCATCGTCTCCTACCAAAAAATAAGTTTTCTTATCTTCTCACATCCTATTTACCATTTTCCCAGTCAACCAGCTTAAAATCCTACTTATCTTTTTATCTCATAGCCAACCAGTCATCGAGCTAAAGGTTTTTTCCTTCATAACATCTTTCACCTATGGCCCATCTTCTCTACCATCATCATATTTCAAGCACGAATCACCCAAGTAACTCACCATTAATCTACATTAATCAGTATCTCACCCTAACTCAGAAATGATTCCATTTCTTTCCAGCTATAGGATCTTGAGGAAGATCATATATTATTATGCTTCAATTTCCTTACTAGTAAAATAGTGATGATTATAACTATTACCTGATTAATAATTAAATAATGATAATAGCCGACACCTACTGAGAGCTCACCATGTGCCCTGTTCTAATGACAACAGCCAGGCACAGAGCGCTCACCACGTGAGAGACACTTCTGAGGGCTTCGCAAGTGTTAACTTACTTGGTGAGATCACTCAATGTGTTTAGACCCTTTTCTGACCCACGTTTAAGCTCTCAGTAACTCCCACTATTGATATTACTACATCATGATTTAATTACTTGTTTTGTACCCTCTCCCCGGTTCCCCCTCTGGCTCCATCCCTAATGAGGAGCAGAGTCGATAAGATAGGATAAATCCATGAGGTTCTGTTGGGCCATGGTGCTAAGGAATGGAACCCCCCATCCGTGTTTTTAAAATTGTCAACAACAAACCATGTTTATTTCACATCCACTATATTGATCTTGAACCTACTAATAAGTCGCAATCCACAGAGCTAAAATCACAATTTTAGATGATTCTTCTTCAGCCATTATCCTATGAAGGTTGCTCTTCTCTTTCAGGATTCTACCTTTAGTTCATTCATTTCTGTCTTTAAATTCTTTCCCAAACAGTATTCTCAATTGCAAATGCCACACATTTACCGATAACTCCTGAGTGTATAGTCCCAACGCTACTGGCTCTAAACTCAATGCAGAGCACTTCACACGACCATGCTTAGCACGGTCTAATAACTACCTGTCTGTCTCATAACTAAGCAGGATGCACTTCTTATCCATTGTTGTGACCACTAGTTAAATTTGTATCCAACCCCACCTGCTCTTCTGAACTTCCATAGCTCTAACTGGTTGATGGGACTCTTACGTCATCCAGCCGTTCCCCTACTTAAAATCCTTCACTAGTTTGCCAACACCACCAACATAACTGTCTTCCAGATAAAAATGAAGACACACACGGTCTGCAGGGCCCCAGCCGTCCCCCGCTCACACAGGTCCTACAAGTTGGACTCAACCGCAGGTGGTGCCCTCCGCGCAGATTGTCTCCTCGCCCTTCCAGGGCATCATACGAGCAAAGATTTCGGCCTGAACTGCGTCCTGCTCGTTCTCGCTTCCTGCCATCTGGTCAACCCATACTTCGAAACACTCGACTCCCCCAAGGCGCCCTCACAGGAACACCTCCATCATACTCCTCACACCCCACTAAGCGATCAGAATTCCCAGTTCCGCATCACGACCTGCGGCTACTTCTCTCATAGCCTATTTAAATGTAGACTATAATTATTGCCTTTTTTCTCTCTCCAGGAGTCCATAAGCATTTTGATAATGGTTTCTTATGTCTGTGTCCTTGACACCTGAGCACATAAGGTGATTAATAACTTTAAGTGCAAAGAATCGAAAAAACAATTAATGAAATTTTTTTAATTCACTTTCAACATGAACATGCCCTAAGCAGGGATCATATTCCGCCCCAGTCCCCAACCATGCTTCTCTGTGTCCCTCCTTGGTTATCAGCATTGCCATTCACCCTATCCCCCCAAAACAGACTCCAGAGTCATCCTCAATGTCACAGTCTCCCTTTGAGTCTCCCGTCATCGGACTGTGCCTCTGCCCACAATGCCTCTTCCCTACTGGGACAATTCAACCTATCTTTCAAAGCACAACTCACATGGTGACTTCTCTGTGAAGCCTTAAAAAACAAAACAAAACAAAAAAAACCTTGCAGTTTCCTTGTAGAAATCAAGAAACTTCCTCCTGGTGGTCCAAGGTTGAGGACAGAAGGGTCACCAGAGACTCGAACCTTGGCACCTGGCTTCACCTTCCCGACAAAATCTCTCAGCTACCAGCCTTTCTTATTCTGTTAGAATCAAAAGGTAATGCATTGTAAACAAAAGATTTGTGGGTTAAAAAAAAAAACCAGAAGGAAGCATGTGTAATTTCAAACAGTAAAATGTCAGAATCATCCATTGACACCTGGAGGGCCATGTGGGTTTTATAAAGAAAGCGACACAGTTTTCTTCCACCTTTCCTCTCCTCCGCAAGGCCAAATGACTCGTCCCCCCCCCACCGCGGCTCACTTTGCGATGCGGGGGACTCCATGATGGCCCTTAAAACCTGGCAGGTTGGAAGAACTGCCGACACGCATGACTGTTTCACTCAGCTGTAAGCTTCTCGACGGCAGAAATCACGCCTTATCCATTTTTGCACGCCTAGAAGAATGCTGGAAAATTGTATTTCTATACTTTAATGTCTAAAACTTTTAAGGTTTTTAAAAGCATATTTAAATAAGACGGTTCTTCAGCAATGTACATTATCTAAACATTGTAAACGTCCCTTTCAATGAAAACATATTCTGAATAAGAATAGTAAGACATTTTTTGTGTTGCATCAAGTTAAGCAATTTAAGCATTAGGAGTAAAGTTGCACAGTGCTTTATTATTATCTGTAATATAATAAAGCTAATCACAAAAGAATAATTTTTTTCCTTACTGTTAATTTCTGAATGTAAGCAAATGAATATCAACACCACTTATCATAAAGAACTTTCTAGAATTGAGAAACTATTCTATAGCACTATAAACACCATAGTTCTCTGTACCTTGCTTAACCATTAAAAAGAAAAAAAAAACATTTTACTTCCTGAGTTTTCTAAAACAAATATGGAGAAAAAAAATAACGCACTAACTTCAATATGAAAATTTTATATGAAAAATTAAGAAAACGTCATTTGGATGAGGCTGTTTTTGAAAAATTCGTGAACCATGTCATTAATTAGAACTTGTACAGCTTGCTTTCCCTCGTGGGAATGGCATTTCGTACTTCAAACAGAGCAATATCTTTTCAAATCAAAAAAGTTATAAACATGAAATCTAAATGAAAAGTCATAAACTCTGGAAATCTGATGTAAACACAGTCCATATTTTCTTATCGTGTTGCTAATACTTTATATTCTAGAGTCCAAGAGACTACGTCAAAATTAGAACCAACTTAGTAAGGTTTTTGGAAGTTAGAAACCTCAGCGAAAATTAAACTACGCGTTTCTACCTGTATTTCAAAAACGCGTGCCTGTGTCAGATGTCCCTGCGAGTAGATAAGATGTCCCTTCCAGGAGCAAGTGGACAGACCCTGAAAACCACTGGAATTACCAATGGAGAACAAAACAAAGCCACCAGCTGCTCTGCCATCTTTTCTCCTGTGACTTGCATCTTCATACTCCATCTATTCCTCTGCTTCTACCGTGGAGAACTAAGGTGAAAAATCAGACAACTTAGAGAAGACTTTTGGACAGCCCTTGCTCGAAAGACTGGAGGGGAAAAGAAAAAAAAACACTATTAAAACTAAAAACTCTGTTCAGATCTTGGTTCCATTTCCTTATTAACCAGAGACCTTAAATTATTTAACCTCTCTAGGCCTCACTTCCATCCGCAAAATGGAGGTTACGGTACCCCGCTCCCTCACAAGGCTGCTATGAGTATTAAACGAGAGGATCCACCAAAGGATCTTAACATGGTCCTCAACACAATGGAAACATCCACGAATAAGATGTAACGAGGACAGCAACGACAGGAGGAAGGGAAACAGAGTCAAGTTCAGTTTTCTTTCTGCGAGATGAAGCTTTCACATATTGCCGTTTAAACACTACATCTTCAGGCTGGAAATTCTACCCCTCGTTTCTAAATTCTTGGTGGATTGTTTCTCTGGTTCTTTTAAACAACGAAAGAAAA